ATTATTATTATTATTATTATTTTGGTACCGGGGATTGAACTCGGGTCCTTGCTCTTGCAAGGCAGGCCACCGAACCGCTGAGCTAAATCCCCGGCCCTAGCGCATTTTAAATAGACATCAGTTGGATTATTCTGGAACCCCTCATAGTTCTTCTGTCCATTTGTCCAGTTTGTGCATAAAAATGGTGCAAATATTAGTCAGGAGCAGGTTTTCAAACTGATTCTTGGCTATTAAATGTCTCCCCATTTCTTTCCCTTTTACTCTCCCTTCCCCTCTACTTCCTCAGATCTTCCTGCAGCTTTCTGGCTGGGGATTTTCTTTGTAATTTAAAACAATAACACTAAAGAATAGTAATTAGAATAGAATTGGTCTAGAATAACATTTGCTTTGGCTACAATTTATTTAGTATATAGTATATGTCAAATACTGAAAACAAATATTGAGATGGGTAGTCTGTGTCACTGAGGCCTCTATATTGATAATACAGTATCTACATGAAGAAACTGAGGTAAAATGACTTAAATAAATGCACAAAATTTGTGGAGATTCTGAATTCAGTTTAAGTATCTCAACCAGTTGGTCTCTAGAGCTCTACTGGCTTAACTAGTATCTATTTCTACCATATCAATGGTGGGTTTCCTAGAGATCTTGGGCTCTAGTCTAGTATTATTTGTTTATTCAGCTCTTGTCTATATTGATTCATCTGATTTTCCTTATTGATGTGTTCCCTAAATCTACAATATTACATGAGAAAGAGTAGATATGCAATAAATACTTTCTGAATATCTAAGCATGCATTTTTGATTGATACTTAGATATATAGAAATGAGGTGTGTTATAGCATTAAAAGGTAACTAGGAGTATAAAAATTATTCATTATTCCTTCATAGAATCAAAAATGCATGCTTAGAGCCAATCTACTTGGGTTGTGTGTGATCCTGAAAACATTGCTTATCCTTGTATGCCTCTGATATCCCATTAAAATAGACTTGATTCTAGGTTCTTGAATCTACTTTATGGAGCTATTGTGAGGACTAAATGGGTGCATATATGTAAAACACTTCAAACACTACTTGTCATAGTAGTCTTTATATTACTATCATCAGGTTTTGGGTAATGACAGCAATTATTAATATGTTCATGCCTGCCCATAATAGTTTATCTAAATATACTTTATATCAAAGTATTCTGTAGGGGAGAAGAGGGAATACAATGTGTTATTTTTACTAGTCCCTCCGAGGTTGTGCCTCTCATCTTTTATAATTTATTTATCTAGAGAAATGGTTTGCAACTGGCAGTTTTGGCTTTCAGGAGACATATAAAAATGTCTGAGGACAATTTGTATTGTCACAATTGGGTAAGGACCAGGGATTCTGCAAATCATACTCCAATAAACAGGACAACCCTTTTTATAATGAAGAATGACGAAGTTGTCAGTAGTGCCAAGGTTGAGAAATTCTGCTCTACAGCACTATTTAAGAAAGCTGAATTTTTTCCAGTATTACTCATAAGACCTGAGAGAAAGCCATTGTGAAATACAATGACAATTTAATCTACTCCTTATGTAAAACCAAGTGGTAACTGTTTAATCTCTGGTCAAATCCAGGACTACAGATGGACTGGTACCAGCACTCATTTAAAGAGGGCCTTCTATATATGAAGAATGTTTAGTATTTTATCTCCAATTCTCATACTAAAATAGCAAGAAATTAAAATAAGATGGAAACGAATTGACACTATTACTTATTTAAAGAGTATCAACTCCAATAAACTATCTATACTAACTCAAAAGTTACCCATATACACTTGGATTTTATTATTTGTTATGAGAATACACCAGATACTGGAAAAGTCCAAACTATTGGAATCTTCAGTTTGATTTAAAACCTTCTTCAGAAAAGTATTCTTTTTTTCTCCTGACTTTGCTATCAGAATAGAATCTGTGTTCTTAATCTGTGTATTTCTGCAAAAAAAAAACAAGTCAATTTAGTCTGTTGTACTTATTCTTCTGAAGATCAAATATTAATATTTACCTTTCTCTTAAATGCCAGAAATTGTGAAAGTGATTTATTATTGTGAGTCCCAAATTATGAATATAAAGTGGGATAAATAGTTGCTATTTCATAAAGTTGTAAGATACTTGAATGAAGTAAAGAACATAAAATACCTAGCATATATTCACCAAAAGTTAACTAATGCTATAGATGATCATCTATCTCTCAGTATAAAAAGGAAAATACCATCTCTCAGAGAAATTTTTTGTGTACCTTGCTCTCTGCTACCTACCTTTGATTTACTCAAACCCACTCTTATTATATGCATTTACACAGATGCTTGTAATACACACATACATATACATATACACTTGTAATAAAACAATCAATTCTATAGTTTGCAAATATCATGGAAAACTGTGTAAATTGGAAAAAATTTGATATACTTTTTTATTTTAAAATTTTTATTTTTATTATTTACAAATTAGAACTTTAATCAGTGTCAATTTACTTCAGTAGCTTTTGCTTTTACCTAAAAGGCTTACATACTCTATCTCATAAGTAAGTGTACTTAGGACATATCTATATTATAGGATCATTGTGGGAATTAAATGATTGTTGTGTATAAAACTCTTAAAAATAATGCTTTGATAGTGTATATAGCTATTACATGAAAGCAAAGTTGAAAGTTGTACAATAACTTCTCTAATGCCTTAAAGTTAGGAAGTCATAGAACGACATAAATCTGATTTTATTTTTTGTTAAACTTAATGGGAGAGTAATGTTTCCTGATAATTAGTTCTCTGAACAATTACATCCCTGTAACTCAGTGTCTATTGTCTTTATAATTGCTTTTGGATCTCCTTATGATTGCTCATTATTCAGAATTCAGGGCAACACTATTTCTTCTGAAACTTCAGTCTCAGTTGGCCTCTAAGACTGACCCTTACAGAAAAGTACCAGCTTGTGTTCACCATCATTTACGCATGATCATTCTCTTTGCACACTTGGAAGACTAATTTTGTTTGTGATCCCAAAGTTGATGATGTTTTAAAGACACAAGTTTCAATTGCAAATTGTCTAATGGCATGCATATGAGGATATGCTCTATGTTCTTGTCAAAATAAATGCTTATAAAGGGAAATCAGAGTCCTTATTAAATATGGAACAAGACATCTACACATTCAGTATTACCAACAATTAAAATGATAAGTTCGTTCTTCATGTGGAAGATACAGGATGAGTTCTAAGATATATTTTGAGTGAAAAAAGAGTTAAATAGTTTATGTTATGCTATTATTTGTATGAAAATGTAATGTCTTTTATCTCTATTTAATATATCTGTTATCTATTTACAGTATATGTTGCTGAAAAGAAGCAAAAAAACTAATAACAGTAGCTGATACTGAAAGGTGTTCGGATTCAAGGGTAGAAAGAGACTTGTCTGATTATTAAAATTTTATTTATAATTGACAATAATTGTACGTTTCTGGGACATGACAAAAGAAGATGGGCAGAAGTTAGTCAATATGTATAAAATAATAGTTTGATAGGAAGAATAAGTCTTGGTGTCCTAGTACATAGTAGGGTGAATATAGCTAGAAATAACAGATTTTATTTTTAGATTTTTTAAGAACATGTTTACTCTTGTTTTTTGTACTAAAGATAATATTTAATGAATATATTAGAATTATATAATTTTAAATATGAAGTGTTTTCTCTTTTATTCTGATCAAATGTCATTAATAATCATTAATAAGTATCCAGTTATGATTTATTAATGCAGTCATTAATAAGCCATATAATCATTAATAAGTATGAAATAAATCTACAGGAACTGATATATAAAATTTCTGAATTATGTTAGCTGGTAAAAATATAAGGAATAGAACAGTTAATATAATGATTCTTTTTAAGTGAAGGATGAGGAAAGACCAAAGAGAGAAACAGAGGTACACAGAGTTGAAGAGGAAAAAGAGAACTAGAGGGGGAGAAAGAGAAATCATTTATACTTACTTGACTTTTCTATCCATGTATGTATTATTATGTTTCTCTATGACAGCAGAGTTTATTTGAAAAAAAAAGCAAACACATATCAGTGCTCAGTTGTGTGATCTTGCTTAAATTATGACCTAAGTGAGCTTCAACAGCCTTTATTCAGAACACAGGGATATTACATATGTTGCTAGGAGTATTTAATTATATAACACAAAGTTTTTGGCAAATTAAGTTTTAAACAAATGGCAATTTTGTGTTACTCCTTCTAATACCTGCTTTTATCCATTTATTTGCTACAAGGTCAGGTAGAGATTTTGAAGAATTATGGAGTGGTGTACAATTGTTAGGGTGGCTAGATTCTAATACTCATCTGGACAACCCAGGCTCTTTATATAGCAGCCATGTGTACAGCAGACTACAATATAGCTTTATGCTAGTTTAAATCATTATTTACACATGCATTTAAACATACTTACTGATAGCTTATTAGGTGCACAATTCTAAAGGACTAGTTATATTAGCCTAAGATAAAGTGTACACATAAAGTTTTCTTTGAATACTTTCAGTCTATTCTATATCTATGGTTATATCTTATTTTTATTCTTAATGTTTACCTACTAGACTCATTGATTACATGGAAGATTGTTTATTAAATAGTAGAACCTTCTGAAATCATCTATTTGTATTGAGTTATGACAAATTACCCAGTTGACCTAACCTGTTTATTAAACCATTGAAATTTAAATTTTTCTTAGTGAGTTTTTGTCAGTGATTTGTGAATACGGATTATGTTTGCCCTTCATGGAGTAAAAGCACTATGTTTGTATTTTATCATATTAATTGTATGTGAAATTCCTGGATATACATTGATTTTCAACTGTTTGGTCCTTCTATTTTGGAAGGATCTAAATTGTCCCTTCCTGTTCTTGTATTTCTGATAAAGTAATTTTTATATTCTTGTTTGAGTTTATGTTTTATACATTTACTTGCTTTTTAGTACAAAATGGTATATAATATCTTATGAGCTATATAATTTCATATGATAATTTTCAAATTTACTTTATCTGATATTAATAGCAACATCCTTATTTTCCTGTTGTTTATAATAACAAGTATATATTTTCCAACTTTCATTATTTTAAAGCTTTCATTGTTTATTTGTTCAAAATGAATTTCTCATAAGCTATGTAGAGATGAGCTTTGTTTTCTTTAAACCAAATTTAATTATTTAATCCCTCTGCCATCTAACAAGGAAATTTATGCCTTAACACATATTATGAAGTAATTAGTTTACTTCTTTCCATATGATATAATGTTCATAGTTGATTATTCTTTATCTTGCTCCTTTCTTATCAAATTTCTTTTCATTTACTTTATATCCTCTGAATGTGAGACTTCTCTTTGGTTTGTAATTTCCTAATGCCTATTGTTTCATGTCAAAGAAGTATCATTAAATTATGTAATTGTATATTATAATTAAATAATAATTTGCCCCCAGGATGCTTTACTTATATTTTTTGCCTATTCAGATCTTTAAGTTACAACCCTTGGTGTACGGTTGTCAAACTTAGCAAATAAAAGTACAATATATGCAATTAAATTCAAATCTCAGATAAGAACATATAGTTTCTAGTATAAGTATTCCAATGAAATACTTGGAATATACTTATAATAAATATTTGTTACTCATCTGAAATTCAAATTTAACTTACTGTTCTATATTTTATCTGGGAACCATACTGCAATATGTTATTATGTCTCTACTCACCAATAGTTGAGTTTTTCAGAGATGATGTATAATTCTAATTTTCAGGCTATTACAATATAATACTCATTTCCATATTGATAATTTACTAGAACTAAATAAATTACTAGTTCAATAGATATCCATAATATCTCTGACTTTCAATTTCTGTCTACGTAGAGGTGAGTTTACTTTTTATTCTTATTGTTTGGAATAGGAACTATGGCAGAATATTCCTAAATTTTTACCTTTAAACAGACTTTTTTATTCTCTCACCCTCATATGATGTCTGACAGGGGACTGGACTGGATAATTCACTAAAGGTGTTTTGAATGAAAAAAGTATTAATCCACATAGGAGGCTTTCAATAAGTACTTCTCGAATGGATAAATTGCTCAATAATAAATGCAAGCTGAGTAATTTGCTGTATTTTGCAGGTGAAATGTATAGATGTTGTTGAAGCTTATATCAACAGAATCAAGGATGTAAATTTAATGATCAATGGAATCGTCAAGTACAGGTGAGCATCTCCACAGTTAAGGAGTCATTTCTGAGGGTTTTTAAAATTCTACTTCTGTGGTTTGAGTACCTTAGCTTGGTTTTTGGACTTGTCTTCCTCAGCCATCTTCCTTTGATTTCTTACTGGGCCCTGCTCTGACTTCTAATTCAGCACTTTCATCCATCCCTTTGTTAAATAGATCCCCCCTCTCTCCCTCTCCCTCTCCCCCTCCCCCATATATATATATATATAAATTACAGTCCCTTCTTTGACTGTAAGATCCTTAATGGAAATAAGTACATTTCATTAATTTTTGTATATCTGCCATCCAAAACAAGGACAGAAAAATAGCAGTTATCATTAAATGCTTATTGCACACAAAGTTTAAAATGTACATTTATTTGTAGTATGAAAAATCTTGTTTTCTTTTCTACATTTTATTTATTAATAGTATATATTCATGATATACAATAATTATATTGATCTTGGGGAATTGGTATATATATACATATCAAAACTCGATCATTTTTACTTCCTTGTCCCCCTTCCCTCATATCCCTTGTAAATTCTTCCCCAAATTTTCACATCATTGCAGAATCTACCTAATTTCCTGGCATCATTTTCTTTTTATTATTTATTTACTTTTAAAATTTTTATTTAAAAGAAACAATGGTACATTTAACTCTGAGTCTGAATTATTTTACTTAGCAATATGGTCTCAAGGTGCACCAATTTTCCTACAAAAGATTCAAAATTATCATTCTTTATGGCTGAATTGTGCACCATATTTTTATCTATTCTTCTATTGATAGGTATGTAGGCCTTTTCCATAATTTAGCTATTGTGAATTGTGTGGCTATAATCATGGTATGCATGTGTCACTGTAATACGATGACTTTAACTCTTTCAGGAAGATATCCAGAAGAGTTATCCCTGAGTCAAATGGAATTTATACTTTTACTTTTTTGAGGAATCACCATATTAATTTCCATGGTGATTATACTAGTTAATACTCACATATTCTGTGTAGAAGCGAGAGAGAGAGAGAGAGAGAGAGAGAGAGAGAGAGAGAGAGAGAGAGAGCTAATAACTGTATACAGGTCATCACATGCTGGGCAAGTGCATACACTTGCAATGCTTCTTATTTCAGATGACTAATGATAAAATATTTACCACTCTATTAACTTCTTCCCAAACCTGTTCTTCCACCCACCCACACAAGCAAGACTCCACCTTCTTTCTTTACCAAATCTATTCACTAAATCTAATTAGTTAACCAGTTTTACTGGCTGTTCATTCTGTCATGCTAAATTTCTCTGTTCTGTCATGCCCTATCTTTCTAGTCCTACAGAACTATTCCATTTCCTTGGATCCACTGTGGTCTCTCTTTTCCACATATCTTTGCAAATATTCTTTCTTCTGCTTGGAACACTCTCCTCTTGTGCACCACTTATTCAATTCACTTATGTTCATTGAGTTTATTGGTACTTTTTAGGTATACAGTACAGTTACATTCATCATTGGAATGTTGTACCTTTACATGACAGGTCTTGGTTCTCATTTTTTTCCTATACTCCTGCCCTCCCTTCATACCCTCAGGTCTTCCCTATTTACAAAAACTTTTTTCCATTTTTTCATTCTCTCAGATTGTTTTCTATCCCTTATTTCCTTTCCTCTACCCTTCCCACTTCCCCTAAATCTTTAGCTCTTTTCTTCCTATTTCACACTGTCAATTATACCATCAGGATCTTTTTTTCTCTCTTTCATTGAGTTTATTGATACATTTTAGGTATACAGTACAGTTACATTCATTATTGGGATCTTGTACCCTTACATGACAGGTCTTGGTTCTCATTTTTTCCCCTTGTCCCTGCCTTCCCTTTACCCCCTCCTTCCCTCCCAATTTACAAACACTATATTTCCATTCTTTTCATTTTCTCATACTTTTTCTTTTCCATTATTACCTTTCCCCTACCCTTTCCACTTTCCCTACACCTTTAGCCCTTTTCTTAGTATTTCACATTGTGAATTATACCATTAGGATCTTATTTACAATTATAGTTTTTCACACCAGAGAAACTATTTGGTATTTACACACGTGTGACTTATTTATTTCACTTAAGAGTATAACCTCAGTATGTATCCATTTTCCTACAAATGGCTCTAATTTCTCATTCTTTATGGCTTAGTAGTATTCCATTTTATAGAATAACCACGTCTTCTTTATCCAGTCTCCAACTGATGGGAAAATGGGCTCTTTCCAAGTTTTAGCAGCTACAAACTGTGCTGCTATAAACATAGGTGTGCATATATCACTATGATATGAGAAAATGAATAAAATTTTAAAAAGCCTTTGTAAATAGGGAGGGGTGTAAGGGTTGAAGAGAGGGCCAGCAAATGGGGATAAATAAGAACCAAGATATATTATGTAAAAGTATGCATTTGTAATGATGAATGTCATTATATTGTATAACTAAAATATACCAATAAAATTAATTTAAAAAAATCTCTGGAAAGATATCCAAAGTTCCATCAGTTGCCTGAAGCTTATCATCTGCCTCTACTTCAAAGGCTTCAATCTCCAATGAAGAGATGGAATTGCAGTTCAAAGTTTTAGGAGTAGATTAGTCACAAAAGTCATTGTTATATTTTTGTTTACTTACAATTATTTAGGATAAAGGAAGTACAATATGTATTCCCATTACAAAACTCATTTATTTTGAAAAACAAAGACCATAAATTAACAGTTGATTCCTATCCTATCTCATGTTATTTTGAATCTTTTGTCAAAGAATGATAATGATAATTATGTACAAATGGAAACAGTTTGAATTTTTTTTTTTGTTTTTTGTTTTGGTACTGGGGATTGAACTCAGGACTTTGCACTTGTAAGACAGGCTGCAGAACCACTGAGCCAAATTCCCAGCCCTAGTTTGAATTTTAATTATAACTTTTAGGAATGGTGATGTGTAAAATGTTGACATCTTTTCTTCATGCCGCAAAGAAATTATATCTTTTATTTAGTTCATGCTCTAAATTTTTTTACACTGAATACAAATTCTTATTAAATGCCACTAGGCACCAACTTAAAAGACTTGTAAAATTAAAAGCATATCACTAATTCTGTATTTGTTGGTTGGCCTTTGTAAACAATTATGTTTTATGACCATAGATGGTTCAGTTGCAAAATTATTTTTAAATTATCTAAAAGAAGAGTGCTATTTAAACATTTGTCTTATAAACTCATTAGTCTTTCTTTTCTTTTTTTTTTTACCTTTGGGAGAACATTCTAGTTGGAAAGTTATTATCTTTCAAAATGTGCTTGGCACCTGCCTTTCATAGCACAAACATGTTGGGCACATATTTAAATTACTTTAACTAGCAGAAAAGAATTAGTTTTAATAAAAAACTAAGATCACTTCCAACAACTATTCTGGCTATCTTGCACTTTTAATAGAAGGGAATTTAATTTCATTAGCTAAAAAGAGGCTGAATTAGTAACATTTTTTGTAATAAAACAGTGCGTTTTGATCATTCTTCCAAGAACTGAGATTTTTCTCCATATGAACTATAACTTAATTTCTATTTAATTTAGCATTGTATTTATTCGTATATTGAATTCTAAATTGAAGCCATTATTTTAAGTACTACTACTAAGACAATGCTTGACCTAAATTTTTAAGAAAAAGTTTAACACTTTTTGGTACATAAACTACAATTTTGTCAGAAATTACTCCCTAAATATGTTTTACTGAGTTAGCAACACATTTTAGGTAAAGTTACTATGGTATTTTATGTATAGAGAGAGGAAGGAGAAAATGAAGGAGTGATACATTAGTTAGAAATAGAATCTAGAATTAGGTTGGCTTTGAAAAATGTTTCTGTTGTGATAAATGAGTTCTGAAACATCCTATCATAAAAACCTTGGAGGAGATCAAATATATATAACATGCTTAATTTGGAATGATGGACATTTTGGATATTGACAAATTTAACTACATTTTAGGACAGATTTACATGTGATGTATAAATTGATGGGGGGTAAAAAAACTAAGCCATTTAGTTGAGAATTCACAGACCATTTTTATTATAAAAATCATATTTACTTTTTTTCTTTGGCTTTTAACATGTGGGGTGCTTTTTAAAGTCAAAAAAGTTGTCTGAAAATATTCTGAATAGTGTTACATTATAAATTTTATTTTCAAAGTTTGATCAATGAAGAGGAAAACCATAAAGCAGACAAAGAAGTACCAAAAACAGGGTAGTCATTCATATATACACAAGATATAGTTTCTTTTCTAGCTACTTCAATCCTACTCATACATTTAAATTACAAAGTACATTTCAATCTGTCAAGTAGCTAACCACATTTAGCACCAGGGAAGAAACTACTTTAGCTTCTGATCATGACTTTAACATCCTGGAATAAGAAAAGAAATTTCATGGAATCTAGATACTTATCATCATCAATTAACAAAAAAATTAATTTTGAAAAGTAATTCCTGTATATCACCAATTCACAAATGATTTAAAAGACTAAAATCTTTTTTTTTTTTTATTGAGTTTATTGGTACATTTAGGGATACAGTACAGTTACATTCATTGTTGGGATCATGTACCTTTACATGGCAAGTCTTGATTCTCATTTTTTTCCCCTTACCTCTGCCCTCCCTTCACCCCCTCCTCCCCTCCCCATCTACAAACACTTTATTTTCATCTTTTCATTCTCTCACATTTTTTTCTTTTCCCTTTTTGTTCTTCCCCTACGTATCACACCTTCCCTACACCTTTAGCTCCTTTCCTCCCATTTCTAAATGTCAGTAATCTTATTAGAATCTTATGCATTGTTGCAGAATATTCACACCAGGGAAACTATTTGGTATTTACACATGTGGGACTTATTTATTTCACTTAGGAGTATATCTTCAATATGTATCCATTTTCCTATGAATGAATCTATTCTCTCGCTCTTTATGGCTGAGTAATATTCCATTTTATAGAAAAACCACAACTTCTTTATC